CCATTCCAACCCATTCCTTTCCATGAGCCACGGTGGTGCAGTGGTTAGAGTGCAGTACTGCAGGCTACTTCTGCTGACTGCCAGCTGCCTGCAATTTGGCAGTTTCACCAGGCTCAAGGTTGACTCAGCCTTCCATCCTTCCAAGGCGGGTAAAATGAGGACCCAAATGATTGGGGGCAATATGCTGACTCTGTAAACCGCTTAGAGAGGACTATAAAGCACTGTAAAGTGGTATATAAGTCTAAGTGCTATTGCTATTGCTATTTCATTCCATTCAGATTGTATTCAGGGAGTTAAAAGAAAAGTCAAGATAATGGCCACAGCCATGATCTTGAAACTATCCCTTTGTTGATGCAATCAACTTTTTTTTCTCCGCATACTTGAGTGGCAGTCCACTAGGACACCTAGATCTCTCTCCGTTAGTATTGTTGAACAAGGTACCACTACTCTGTGATATTCCATACGTACCATGAGAGAAGATCAAAGTTCAATACCTAGATGTTAGAACTGACGATGTTCTAGAAACGAACACTAGAAAAAGCGAAATTAATCTAAATCCTGGTAAATTAACAATAGGCAGGATGATTTCCCAGTGGCCAGAAACCAAAAACTCCCTTGGGTTATTCCGTTGACACAATTACTGATTTGTGCCTTAGCACTAATGTAGATACATGTCCACGAATCTCTCTTGCATTTGTAAAATCAGTGAGCTCTCCCTACTGCAGAGGCTATTCAATAATAATTACAGCTGCAGAAGCTGAAGAAGTTGATAGTCAATGCTATTTAGATAACTGCTCGGTGCATAAATTTGGAGTGAGAGGGAAAAAAAATGAGCACTTGGAGACTGGAGACCCAAATATTAGCTCGAGAAAAAGCTACATATTTACCTTCTGAATAATTAACTTAGCATTGAAAGGGAAATGACACATCTGATACTATTCCACCTCCGTTACACATTGTTCTGTTCAAGCAAAAACACAATGGCAACATCTAGTTCAACATTTATCACATCATTACTTTCCAAGTTTAAGTAAGATGGGCTAACATCTTCCCTGGGAGATGACAAGTTGCATTAATTGTTTCTAATAATAATAATTAACATTTCAGGCAACATGCTAGAAGAACTCTGCTGCTTCTGCCATCTCGTTATACGTGGAACTTGAAGGATTTCACTTCCAGTACATCTGAAGGGTGCAGGGATGGGAAATTGACCTTAACGTTACGGAATCAGTCTGTTTGCAATAGGCAGCCCGGCAATAAAATGGTGCTTGTAAATAGCATAGGACAGTGAGGGCGAACCTTTTTGCCGTCACGTGCCAGGAGCGGGGGGAGAGGTCGCGTATGCGTCCTACCCCCATGCATGCGCACAAGACACACACACATGGGTCCTGGCACACAATGGCCTGTTTTTCTCTCTCCCCAAGCTCCAGAGCCTTTCTAGGAGCTTGGGGAGGTCGAAAACGGCCTTCCCCACCCACCCCCGGAGGTCCTCTGGAGGCAGGAAATGGCCCATTTGCCAACTTCCGGTGGGACTGTTTTCACCCTCCCCAAGCTCCTAGAAAGTCTCTGGAGGCTGGGGAGAGAGAAAAATGGGCCTTACACACACACACACACACACAGGCCTTCTGGAGGCAGGAAACAGCATGTTTCCATACTTCCAGTGGGCCAAGAAATCAAGCTGAGCTCGCATGCCCTCTGATATGGCTATGTGTGCCACCTGTGGCACGCATGCCATAGGTTCGCCCTCACGGGCATAGGAATAGCATTTAGATTTACATACCGTGCCATAGCATTTTAAAGCACTCTTTGGGTCGGTTTACAATGTAGAAATATTATTTGCATATTGCCCCCAACAATCTGGGTCCTCATTTTACCAACTTCGGAAGGATGGAAGGCTGAGTCAATCCTGAGCCCTGTCAGGGGCTCCAGGCTGTGGGCAGAGTTTGCCTGCAATATTGCACTTTTAACCACCGCGCCAACAGAGTTAATATACTTTCCAAACATAGCTTTGGAAACCTTAACCTTAATGTAAAATAGGCCAATATTATTCTAATATATGAGCAGAGGGGAAGTTCTGATCCACAAGACCTCCAGATCTGACTTATGGACAACCAGGTTGATATACAAATTCCACTCTCTTCATTTTCTGCTCTTTTTTTCATGGAGAAAAGATTCATCTCCTTCTACATGAAGGAAGGGCTGCCAGAAACCAGCTTGAGATGGGGTTCTTCTCCTGAGTCCTGACACCAAGCCACGTCCCTTCTTGTAATTCATCTTGACCAACATGAGTAGGCAACCTGGCTCTTGGAGTGAATTGTTTATCCTGTACAAACAGCAAACTCATTCTCCTCTAACTATCCTTACATGGTTAAATGGCACCATTCAACAGGGGAGAAATATCCCTAGACATAGAGGGCAAAGACCAAGGGCAGGTGTCTGCAACCTGTGGCTCCGGAGCCGCATGTGGCTCTTTCATCCCCCTGCTGTGTCTCCCTGTCCGCTGAATCCACCACTGGATGGCCCCGTCCCTCGCCCTCCCCTCCCAGTCAGTCCTCGCCTGGCCTAAGAAGGTAAGGGCGATTGCCTAAGGTAATACCAGGAGGCACAAAACCTGGGTAAGCGTGGCTGGGGGGGTGTCATGTGACTGGGTGGGAGTGAGTGATGTCGAGTTGGCCACGCCCACCCAGGTTTTGTGGCTCCCGGTGATTTCTTTTCTGTGGGAAACGGGTCCAAATGGCTCTTAGAGTGTTTAACATTGCAGACCCCTGACCTAGGGCATAACAATATTTACAATATTTACAAATAAATGTAGAACTTAAAGTGTTGTGTATTGGGACGAAGTACACTGAGGCCGGCGTCAGTTAACACTGTTTATTAACATAACACTAGGAACTCGAACTTAGAACATACAACAATATCAGCTCAGCGAACGAACCAACTCTTGTCTGACAGGGCGCTTATATAGCTAGCTGTCACTTCGTGCAACCAATCCGGGAGCCAGCAATTCCCGCTACTTTTGTTGCTAGCGGTTGAACCAATCATCGCTCGTAGCGCCAGTCAGCCCGAGGACTCAACATAAAGGATGCGATTAAACTCTTCAGCATCTTTCCAAAGCAAAAGCCAAGTTGACTTCCAAAAGCATAAAGAGAGTGTTCCACCAAATAATCCCCTGACTTTTAATCCAACAAAGTTTCAAATCTTTATAATACTGTATAGAATGAGATCTTAAAACTCATCATGTAGAACTAACCTCCGCTAAAATAAAAGAATTATTTAGAATTGCCTGCTGACCTTTTTTTCACTTTGGTGGGGGAAGTGTTTTTCCATTTCTATTAAAATTTCTTCTGAATAATAAACTGACACAGAATTATTTAATTAAAGTTGGAAGTTTAATTTTTAAGTTTATATACATTACCCCCTGAGTAAACCTGCCTAAATTCGGTGAGATTTCTAAAAAGATACACATAGCCTTAAACTCATTGTGAAATAGTCAGAACTTTTATTTAAATTCCTTTTATCTGACACATATAATTCCATATTAAACAGGGATAAACAGATCAATCCTTGAATTCTTGGCTACGATAAGAGCGTGAACCTTTTTTTTTTAAGAAAAATAAATAAATAACCACTATTGCTTCTTTTAATAGTCACCAAAGTTGCCCCAAAGAGATTGAGAACTGCAGGATGCATCTGTAACAATAACATATAAGGCGCATTGAAGCAATATTTCCATTATGGCTGGATTGGCGGTGTGGGGAAGAGGGGAAGAGAATATGATTGTCACATAAAGGATTCATGTGAGTGATGCAAACGGAATTATACTGAGAAGGATAACACCCCTTTCAGCAGAGGGAGTAAGAAGACTGAGTAAATTTTAAAAGCAGGGCTTCAGCCCTGCATGTCACAGAAATTAAATTGTCTTTGTTTATTGTGAGATAATGAATTTGAGAGGACAAGAAAGGATGGGGTTGGGTTTTATTTAATGCACACGTTAAGATGGATACATGTAGAGCTGGCGGATATAACATTGAATTATGTCCTGTCAAGTGCACATGATTCATTCAGTACTACAAATATTGATCTGACAGGTCACCTTCCCTGCACATACCTACACATTCTTCTCTGAATATGATGAACTCCATAATATTCCTTTGTTTAAGCCTTCCAACTTGAAAGACCAAGTTACCCCTGGTTGTCACACAGTTGTAATTAGCGCACGGTGATTCGGAATTTCAATTTCAAGGCCACATTATATTTCTAAATTTCTTCCGCCTCCTCTTGCACCAATTAGTGTCAATCGGGCACACTAAAACACACCATCCTGACAGGCAAACTTTGACATAACGCTTGCCTGCCTCTTCTAGACCAAGATATAATGTCCCACTATTTGTTTTTTGATAAATGGCTGCATTTAATAATGTTTGTTTGCATATTTGTTCATCATGCTAATGAGCATAATTACTTTTATTCACGTGGCAGCGCTACTATTACAGCTGATCTATGAGCACGTTGCTTAAATATGTATCATTAGTATTTTCCATGCACTGGTCAAGTTGAAGTGGGAAGCATTAGTAGATCAGCAGTTAAGCTTCCCACTTCCGCTTAATCACACTTGTTTCCTTTGGATAAAAGAATGGATTTCCAGTAGCGATACACAAGATCCCCTTAGCCTACTCTGGTGGTTCTTTTTATTGAGCAATCCAAGCTAATTCTGAAATTTAATCAGTTCCAGCCCATTTTACCTTTCTTTCTACTCCTCCTGCCAACTTCCCTACCCATTTTCCCCACACCCAAATGGACGATGTCCATCTCTCCCGGGTAATGTGTATCACCTCTGGCACATTGCATCCCACTCCTGTGCACTGGTTGCCTGTACTTAGCAATATCATATCGCCCCATGCAGTGGTGGAAGGCTGCCAGTTTAACAAGCAGTTCAATGAGTGTGTGCTTTGCTTGCATGCATTGCTGAAAATGGAGCATTTAGAAGCTCAGCTGCTTACCTTCCAAGTCAGCAACAGTAAGTAGAACAGCGAGGGGGGGGAATCAGCTGGGCCACGTGATTGAGATGAGCTACAAAGCAGGAAATAAAGGACAGGTTAGAGCGGGAATGGGTGGGTGGAGCCAACTGATCATCAACGCTACTGGTTCTAACCAACTAAATACTACCTCTGGCCAGTGGTGGGTTGCTCCCGGTTCGCACTGGTTCGCAAGAACCGGTAGTAAAAATTTGTAGTAGTTCGAAGAACCAGTAATAACATTGGCTGGCCACGCCCCCGAACCGGTCCCCGGCCTGGTCGCCACTCGCTTACCCCACCCACCTCATCAGAGGCTTTTTTTTTTTTCTTTTAAAAGCATTTTTTTCTACAACCTCTTCGGCCAAAAAATGCTTTTAAAAGTAAAAAAAAAAAGCCTCTGATGATCGCGCGGCTCAGCTGGGATTGTCAGAGGGTTTTAAAAGCATTTTTTTCTACAACCTCTTTGGCTGAAGAGGTTGTAGGAAAAAAATGCCTTTAAAAGCCTCTGGCGATCCCAGCTGAGTTGCCTGACCATCAGAGGCTTCTAAAAGCATTTTTTTTCTGCAACCTCTTAAAGTTGTTGAAAAAATGCTTTTAAAAGTTTTTTTTAAAAAAGGTTGGCCACACCCACCCAGTCACATTACCCCACCACCAAGCCATGCCCACAAAATAAGCCACGCCCACAGAACCGGTAATAAAAAAAATTAGAACCTACCCCTGCCTCTGGCCCCATGTTACAAGACAACAAACTTTCATTCGACTAGGGTCAAGGATACTGAACAACAAGGCCCTCCCTATTCATCAGGACAATGTGCAGTCCATTACGAGATTAAAATCCCATGGGCCAGCATGGAAAACAGCTATTCTCTTAACATTTATCCAGTTTAGCTCTGAGAATGACCGGAGAGAGGAATGGTCCAAAGCACCTTCTTGTGGCCTGACCATTAGTGATCCTTCTACCAAACCTCCTGGTTTTGATCTGCATCACTCTGCCTGGTTGAAATTGAACGGAATTAGGTGTGATACTGAAAGAGGTCCCTCTGCCCTTTATCAATGGGGATGGAAGGATTCCCCTTTTTGCAATTGTGATGCTGATGTGCAAACTATTAAACATATTGTGCAAGATGGCCCACACCGTGCGTTCCCTGGTTCTGCCTGAAGCAAAGCCAGAGGCAATTGACTGGATAGCTGAATTGGACATTCAGATATGAGGCCACTGCCACACCCCCATAGAAGTTATCACTTATAATTACATGGAATATATGTTTACTTCCCTTCTGTCATGTTCTCATCATATGCTAAATATCAATACTCTTTTCTTGCCAACCCATCCCCTGGCATGTTGTTACACAGTCTACAAAAAGCCAACTAGCTCTAGGAAATGCTCCACCTTGAATTTTAAAATATTCTAATTTTAAAAATGTTGTAACACTGGACTCTGGCAACTTCTTTATTTATAAGAATGCCTCGTGGACTGTAGAAAATAAAGACTACTTTGACAGAGATAAGTCAGATCCACTACCAAAATGACAAGGAGAAAAACATAGCTTAAGTCCAAAACAAGCAGAAAGTATGCATAAATGGCTGAGATAGACACGTCTCCAATTCACATGGGTATAAGGAGAGGAGGAGGCATAGCACAATCAGATTTAGCAAGATTCTGTTGTTTTGCCTATAAAGGCAGTCTTAGCCTTCCTGTGGAGGTGAGTCTACTGGTGGAGCTAACATGGACCTTCTTAGAAGGCAGACATCGTAGACAGTCGCAGTAGACTGACCAGTTCAGAAAGGGCAAACTAGAATTGTAGAAACTATCATGATGGACAAAGGTGAGTTATGGAAATGAAGGTCATAATTTATCTCCTAAACATTGTGTCAGTTGCAAAACCTAAATTTCTGGTTGTTCATGAATCCCCTTTGAATCAAGCAGGGCAAATAACACACCTTTGTCTGGAAATATTGTTAGTTACAATAGTTCTCTGTGTATTCTTCATTGGTTGCCTATTCATGCATACTTTTTTCCATAAGTTCTTGCAGTGAGGCTCTTCCCCAACAATCCAACATAAAGGACTTTAGATATTATTAATTTATACAGCACTTTAAGTCATTTATAAAGATAGCACAGAATTACAGAAATAGCAACCATTAAAATAATGATAAAAGAAACACTAAGAATCAACAACGGTCAACAGATTTGAAAGTCTGAATGAAGAGGTGCTCCAATGACAAAACTGAGCTGCTGTACTTTTATTTATTTATTTTATTTTTATTTATTTTATTTCCTCAAGCATGTATTTTATGACAGATACAGGTGTAAACATAATTATAAATACATGAGATGGATACAAATAAAAGAAAACATTAGGACAGGAACGGTAGGCACGCTGGTGCGCTTATGCACACCCCTTACAGACGTCTTAGGAATGGGGTGAGGTCAACAGTAGATAGTCTAAGGTTAAAGCTTTGGGGATTTGGGGAAGAAACCACAGAGTCAGGTAGTGCATTCCAGGTGTTGACAACTCTGTTACTAAAGTCGTATTTTCTGCAGTCTAGTTTGGATCAGTTTTCAATGAGTTTGTACCTCTTGTGTGCTCTTGTATTGCTTTGGTTGAAGCTGAAGTATTCATTGGCTGGTAGGACATTGTAGCAGATGATTTTATGTACTATGCTTAGGTCAGACTGAAGACGGCGAAGTTCTAAATTGTCTAAGCCCAAAATTTCGAGTCTGGTGGCATAAGGTATCTTGTTGCAAGCAGAAGAGTGGAGGACTCTTCTTGTGAAATATAACCATAAAAGGATCTTGTTCACAATCAATCAATTTTCCAAAACTTGGTGAGCTAGGACTACAAAACCTAGAATTCCCAGGCAACATCAGCATTCAGGAGAGCGTCAAATGTTGCATAGCCTATCAGTTATTATATATGCCATACGTTAGTACAGTGTTTTCCCGTATCCCTCCCAGCCTCAAACAATGTTGATATAGATTTACGGTGGGGAGAAAATACGAAATTTTTAAATAATCTTTATATCTCAAAATTATTATTTCAAACTCCACTTCAGAAAGATAGGATTAAAGTGATGGAAAAGCAGCCACAGACACAGCAGAATCCAGAGCTGTGCAAAGACAGTTCACTCTCTTATTAAAATGGTGATGGTTCTCATAGAGACTCAACCAGGTCACATATTAATAATTATCAGTGACAATCTTGAACATCAGATGAGGCCCACTAGTGAAACAATATTACATCTCTCTCTCTCATTTATCTTTACTGCTTATGGCCCCTCTGTGGTCAACATACTGTGAGCACCATGGACATTTAATTATGAACACATCATAAATGTGGCTGACAAGGCAGAAGCTGGGGCCAGATGCTTAAGGGAAGAAGCGCTGATGAAACCTCTTCTACCTGCGGTACTCTTGCTCTCTCTCACAAGCCATGTTTCCCAGCGCCATTCCACAAGATTCCGGGTACCAAATTCTTTTCCTCTTCTTGCTTCAAGTTGTTTTCTTTTAATGCCTCCTTTAGAAATAAAAATGGGCTTCTGCCCACGATGTCCTTTTTTGGAATGATGTATTTGACGGATGATCTATTTGGCTTTACATGAAAGTTTCTGAGGTCTTGATTTGGGAGTTTCAATTTTTCCTCTGATCAGATTTGGGGAAGGTGAGCTTGGTGAATAGTTATGGGGTAGTTAAGGGCCCTCTAGTTTGCTCAGAAACATAGCTCATGGGGTACAAAAGGAAAACAGCAATGTTTCATGATGCCTTGGTTTTATTACTGCAAACCCAATCAACTATGGAAGAGGAGGAGGAGGAGGAAGAAGAAGAGAAAGAGGAGGAAGAGGAGGAGGAGGAGGGGGAAGAGAAGGATTATTTTGCCCCTTATGTCCTAACAGCCATCACATTGTTCTTCTGCAATGCCATGAGTATTATATCACCACAAAACAACCTTTTATCTAACTCAGCTAAATTCTATGTACAACTCCTTTTCCTCCAGAATGACATAAACAGGAAAACTAAAATAGCAGAAACCATTCTTAAAATCATTCATTACAACTAGAGAAAGGAAAGATGCACTCTACCCCAAGTGACAAAATGATTTTTAAAAAAATGAGGTCATACCAATGAACTAATTTGTTATTTCCAAACATTTCATAGCAAACATTAGTTGAATTTTGTGATCTCTAATCAGTTTTTTTATTTATTTATTATTATGAAACAACTTGCACATCTTGTTCCTTCTGAGAGCAGAAAGATTTATTAACATTTTCTCCAAAGCCAGAACTGTACCTAACAGAGATAAGACTATATAGTAATTTCTGGATTGTAAAAATCCAGATTTTTACAAAATCCGGATTTAGAGAGCAGCTAAGAAACAAAAAACACAATTATCACTTTTTGGTCAACAGGAGTTTTGCAGCCCAGATATAGTATGCCTACCAAGAACTTCTGCCATCAGAAGAAACGGTTCCATCTTGTTCCCTTCAAAGCAGCCATCCTTAAAATGACTTCTAAATGTTTTTTCCTTACATGGGCAACTCTCAACTACAAATCCCAGAATTCCTAGGCATCATACAAATATTTTAATATTTGTATTTGATGTTTTTACTTGGCTGTTCACCACCCTGAGTCCTCAGGGAGAAGGGCGGTATACAAATTCAAAATAAAATAAAATAAAAATAAATAAATAAATCATAGAAGTTATCAACCTATTGCAATGGCACCAATTCAAGAATCTGAGAGAAAACAAAGGTCAGCCACATTTAGGAGTAACGGACATCTTGTATTTTTGAAATGAAATTATGGAAGGAAATGTCTCCTTTAGAAAAAGGCTCTTTAAAGGGTTTCAATTTGAAAAAAGTAAAGAGAGGAGTGGAAAAAGAAAAATTGGTTAAGATTAGAGGTTAGGGGGAATGGTAATATTGTTTATATATTAGAAGAAATAGAAGGAAAATAAAACAAAAAATTAGAGAAAGAATTTTATGGCGAAAAGTGAAATATATAAAATGGTATTCGAGAAAATTAAAAGCGGTACAAATTTTGACTCGGCCAATACTCTGTTCAGAAAAAATGCATTGTTTGTTTGTTTGTGTGTTTGAAAAAAATAAAAAACTTTTATTTAAAAAAGAAAAGGCTCCCAAAGCATTTTAAAAATTAAAACAAAAAAGTCTGGAGAGGCTGCCAAATACCTGTAGTTGCTTGTTTTTTTATCCATTTTTCTGTCCTCACACTTTAGGCCTAAGTTAAACAACCTCTCGCAACCAAGACCTTCAGGCTACATACAGCCTGCCCTTAAGCCATATTTGGTCTTGCTCAATTTTGAATAACCTTTTGCCACAGCTGTGCCATTCTGTTACCCAAGATTATAAATTCACATATTATCTAAACACAGGAAGAGAAACATGACCAAAACCATCAAGGACAAGGAGCAAGATAGTCCACGGGCTTCAGAAAGCAACAGTCCTCTTTCCTCAGAGCCAGCCAACCTTAACCCTGATTCATCTGAAGCCTTTTCATACCATACTCCAGAACAGGAGAAAATGAACGTGGTACCTGAGTGGAATCAATAAGCAGAGTCTTCAATGAAGCCACAGTTGAAAAGGAACCAGCAATACCAAGAAGAGTCAGTAACAGTAACAGAGTTGGAAGGGACCTTGGAGGTCATCTAGTCCAACCCCCTCCTCATGCAGGAGACCTGTACTAGGGATTCGAACCGCCGAACTGCCGACCTTTCTGATCGACAAGCTCAGTGTCTTAGCCACTGAGCCACCTAGTCAGGAAAACCTCATCAACAAGAAGCTTCACCAAACACACAAAATGGCGCCTCAAGTGCCACCATTTTGTTTTCAAGAAGCAGCATTCTGCCAGCCAGCCTCAGCTGCTGGTATTTGTGGCCTGAATTCTTAAGACTGTTGCCCCATTAGCCAGCTGCGGTTAATTAAAGCAGTCCTATGTGGTTAGAATGTAGTATTGCAGGCTAATTCTGCTGACTGCCAGCAGTTCGATCCTGACCGGCTCAAGGTGGACTTACCTTTCCATCCTTCTGAGGTCAAATTGTAAAATGAAGACCCAGATTGTTGGGGGCAATATGCTGACATTTGTAAAAACGCTCAGAGAGGGCAGTAAAGCACTGTGAAGCAGTACAAAATAATTCTAAGTGCTATTGCTCTTTTGAGCTCTAGTCACACGGAAACACGTTTATGTCCCCCAATAGAAGAAGGAGCCCAGGAGTGCCTTTTTCAGATCAATACATTTTATTAAAAGGGGTAGGCTATAATTCACTTCATCAAAGGCACCTATGGCGTGTTTTGAGTGAACATTCCTGAGAGCGGTTGGCTATATGGATTAAGACTCAGTACAGAATAGAAGTACTTCTGTTGCTACACGGAGACCGCTTGAGGTGGGGGGGAAATGAAACTTTGACTTTGGGTTTTACTGATTCAATTGATTTTGTTGTTATATTATGGAAAAGTTAAAAAGTTGAGGTTTGATGTTAATGCTTTATTCTACTGCAACAGAGGGAGTCAGAAATAACGTGCTTTTTTTGGTCTTTTCTCCTTCCGTCCCCTCACTTTTCTTTCTCCTTCTCCTCCCCACTGTGTCCTCCTATTTGCTTTTGTATTTTTGTATTTTATTCTATAATCTAATAAAATGTTTAAAGGCTGGGGGGGGGAGATTCGGCATAGATTCTTCCTTTCTCATACATGCTTCTTTTGTTCTCTCCCACTTATCTTTCACATGGAAGCTAAGATTCTTTCTCAAGATGGAGTTTCTCAAGCTCGGCAATGTTAACACGTGTGAACACCACTACCCAGAATCCCCTAACAAGCATCCTTGGCAATTTTAAGACACATGGAATTCTGGGAATTGAATTCCACATGTCTTAAAGTTGCCAAAGTTTGGAAACCCTGCCCTAAGGTGTAGAGAGGTGGTTTGTCAAGTTAAAATATGTGGACTTCAACTCCCACAATTCCCCAGCCAGTCATGCTTTCCTAGGGAATTCTGGGAGTTGAAGTCGACGCAACTTAAAATTGCCAAGTGCGAGAAACACTGGTATATAGAAGCTTTTTATCTACCACCAAATAAATTCACAATGCAGTACCACGCTTTGATCTGTAAAAATTTCATAGATTCAAACCTATTCAAAACCCACCTCATTTTACTGCCTCTTTTGTCTCAGACTGTCTATTTTGTTTGGACAAACCAGTTAAGGCTATAAATCCCCCTCACATCTCAACCAAAGGCACACACACACACACACACACATACAAGATTGATGGGACCATCACGCACACCCATGCATGGAATTCACAAATATTCACATGGTGCAAAACTAATTAATTTATTTATAACGGCAACTAAACTGCATTCATGCCTGTCCATTACAAACCCCCCCTCTCTAAAAAAAACACCCCATAAGTGTACAGAGGCCGGGTGGATGCCATGTTTCATGCCCTTCTCCTCCCTGCTGCTGAGATACATATTTCTCTCCTCTGTAGCTCTCCAACAGAGGAGCAGGAGGAGAGAAAGAGAGAGAATAAAGCATATAATAAAGGCCAGCACAATAAAAGAACTCTGGAGAAAGACCTGAAAAGTAGCTATCATGTTGGCAGATAAATTCTAACACACAATTATTCATTCCTAGCCTCTTGACATGTAGATTAATGAGTTTGATAACCCAGGATTTCTAAGAAGTAGATTCAACACTGTTTCAACAGCTTCCTTTCTCCTCTCTCTCTCTCTCTCTCTCTCTTCTCTGCCTCGTAACTACACACAAACGCTTCAGTCTATTGGAGGTGGGTGGGGGAGACACAGGGGAAAAAGAAAATCAATACATTTGTGCAAGTCATGAACATTTCTGTCATCCAAAATACAATCTCAAATATGTGTCAAGGCAAGGACCCTTAGCAGGGTCCAGTATGAATCTATTGGGACCAAGTGATCACTGGAGGGAGAGAGGCTCGGGGTTGCCAAATCTATTTCAAAGCAGAAAAGAAATTCATTGCACATTCCCACTTGTTATAAGGCCTTGCCGTGGGTTATATATCTGTGAAATTTTCCATTTCTGCCCTGAAGGCAAGTGATTTGTTTTCTTCTCATCCCTCTGGTTAATCCTCCGTGATCAAAGGATGTTTTGAAAGGTACATGTTCCCGTCAGATGCCAGCAAGGACAATTTGGAAGAATTCAGGATGGTCTCCATCCAACGATTGTCACTTAAGTTGATAAACAGATTGTTCTAAACTGAGCTTTGCAAAATTGGTTGGGGAGGGGAGGAGGTGTATGTCTCCCTTTTCTTTCTCTTATAATCAGCATAGGGCTCATTCCAAAAAAATGTGTCTTTTCAAAGCTCCAAAAATCAGTTAGGTGAAAACTATTTTTAGACAAGCTGTGGAATTCTGGGAGCTGGGAGTCTTAAAGTCACCAGAGTTGACACAGCTCTGATTTAGACATGTATGTTGTTCTCCTCATAATGTAAAAAATTCAACTCGAAGTTCCATTTGATTATATGATTTAAAAAAAACACAGTCGTTTGATTATTTTCTAATATGGATCCCTCCATCACAACTCATTTTGTTGCAATTTAAGAGACTTTTATGATATCGCTTGTCCAGGTGAGTCCATCAATATCACAAGTGACTTACGTGCAAAAGAAGAAAACAAGGCAATTTTGGAAATCTAGATGATCTCAGGAAATCTAGGTGCATTTAGGATTAATGAAATGGCATATAAAATGCTGAGGAGAGAACCAAGATTAGAGTCCGCTTCACTCAGGAAAACTGGTGTGTATTCAACAGTATTTTTCAGGGATTTAGTGAAAATGGTGAGTCAACATAGCATCATACTCTGGGCATCTCTCTCTCTCTCTCTCTCTCTTTTTTTTTTTTTTTAACGTAATAACAAGTGACATGACTGGCTAAGGGACTAAGATAAGTTCCTTGCATAGAGGGAATTTATAACAACTCAAAGAAATGTGCTATTTTTATCATCATCAACATCATTATCCTCTTAATAGAGTTGTTGGTTTCTTCTAATCATCAGAATTTTGGCTATAGAACTTGGATTTCTGGGAATTGAAGGCACAAGATTGAGAAAGACAGAATAATAATCCCTGTTTGATTACCTCTTATTTTTCTATTATTTCTCATACAATAACATCATCCATGGCATTTTATAGGACAACAAGATTTCCACCTGGCCAAAAGTGTACAGAAGAACAAGTGGCCCTCCTTCTTTCCTCTCAGCTTTTGAGATCCAAACTCCCCTATCCCTTGCATCTTCTGAGGCACTGATTTGAAGGTAGATACTCCAACAGTGCCTCTATAGCAATTTCCTCCTACAATGTCTTCTTAAGATGGACGTTTCCCCCAAAATATTCCTGGAAAGGAAGCTGGTCTGTCCGTCGCACAGGTTGCTGTTGCCTCAGACATAACGGAGTAGTTGCCTCGAGAAATTAGTTAAGAGCCTTGGATCCAATTGCATAAAAATGCAAATGGAAGGCAAGCAATTAAAAATAGGTAGAAATGACTAGACTTGGTTTTCCTTCCGGTGCTAAACCTTCTCCAGCCCCAGCCTGCCTCTCTCTCTCTCTTTCTCTCTCTCTCTCTCTCTCTGCCATTAATCTGGCTTCTGCCAGCGATAATCAAGCTAGATTTTGATAAAGAACTGCAAATCTGTCTTCCCGCAATGTTTTTGACTTGCTGCAAATTTCATTCAAGCTGAAGCATCTGTACAATCCCTTGAATGATTTGGAGTTAATCATTTGTATTTCGCAGCCTCTGTTAGGCTTTAGACACCGGGGGTGGGAACAGGTTTGGCTTTTTAATCGCCTTGTATATTGTGCTGCTGAGAGATAAATGACACCCACTGTCTCAAATCTACATTCTTGCTTCTGATGCAAAACTGTAATTAATTTTGTGCAGTGTTTCAGAATTGATTGTGGTCACTTGAATTCCTAATTTTTCATCCACTTCAAAGATCTTTCTTGCTCTCACCCCCTTCGTTAAAGGATGGGCTTTCAAGTAGACAAATACTTAGCTATGCACATATTGTAAATGAGTCTTGGGCGCCTTCTTTTTCGATAAGGTGAAACAGAGGTCAAGACATAAGTTTATTGTCTTGGTCTATTTGGGGACAATCTCTCCTTCCTCAGGAGGAAATACCACCTAAACTTATCACATTAATGTTTGAAGATTCAGCTTCTTAAACCTTCCCTTCCAAGTCTCGCACAAACTGAGAAGATTTCATTCATGGCGTTTCTATTCAGCATAAAACAATTAGGCACAATCTAGACAATAATTACCCTAATTAACTACACTCTAATGTTTGTATTCAAGATTATAGAAACATTGTGTAAGTTTCCTATTTAAACAAGGTCCCTCTTGTTTCTATTCCTTGATAGTTGTGGCATGTGGTTCTTTTTGGCTGGTTGTATTTCACTGCTTTTTTTAAAAAAAAAAATTGTCAGTGAAAGATTTAACATTATGAATGAATTTGATTACGCCATTGTCAAAAAAAGCCCCATGTATCACAATTTCTTGTTTTTAATCACTACTGTAAACCTCGCAGCCTGGGGGCATAGTTTTAATTTGGGTGCCTTACTAATGAAAAGAAAAAAAAAATAATTGTTTTGCCAGGATTTAATAATAA